TCTGTTGAAGTGAACAAGTAACCAAAAAACAAGCAATAACCCGCTCTAGCAATAACTTGTAGTATATTCAAGTATATTCAACGATTGAGACTGCATGAGGAACGGAGAAAGTGGTCAGGGACGGTAAATAATTAAAGGACTCTACGGTTCACAGATTGCGCGCTGCAATCATCCATCGCATTTCTGCGATCAGCGGCGGGTGCGGCGAGTGTGACGCGATTTTCGGGGAGAAATTACCACCTCCAATTGAACGACAGGTGATATTTTGTCAACGTTGTTACATGATTCTGCCCACAAGTAATTATGATATTTCAAAATAGACACTGCTAATCTTATTGCAATGGCTACTATAACATAATTGGCATCGTGTTGTCATTACTATATAATAAATTGGTCTGCAATGAGAATTAAGCCGTAGGAGGGTGTCATATCGTGCTCGACGTGCAAAAGAGGACGTTTAGACTAATCAGAATTACCAGGAGAATTGAAGAACGTACCGTAGAAGTACTGCGGTCTGAAGACTTGATATTCACAACGTAGATCCTCAGGGAGAACAAACGATATGTATAACTTGTAAATAGTTTCAAGCAGAACACCTGAAATGGAAAATTGAGTAAATATGATGCAGAGAATTAATCATTGAGTACGTAGACAATTTTTCTGGTAGCGCTTCCTATTTTCAAAGGATCCTGCTGGTTTCTGTCACTTTAAAACTGGAAAAATCTTACCTGGCCCCTGAATCTGGGTGGAAAATAAAATCTGTAAGCGCTATGGACATTTCCTTTTTGTTCGCTTGCCCGTTCCTTTTTGCTCTGTATGGAGCAAAGTTGATTTTGTGGGGAAAGAATGTCAACCGACCGATTTTTCGGAGAATTTCGGGATTACTGGTGGATTTATTACGTTCTTCAGGTCCTCTTTGATGAAAAAATTTTCATACCATTTCATGCTTTTATTACTCCATCGCAAGAAATCTTAGGATCGGAATTACTCTTCAAATCAGGTTGTTTCAGTGTTTCAGGAATTAGTTCCAATCATGCTATTCTCAGGGTGGTTTTTCACTCGTCGAAAAGGCGCTAGAAGTATGGAGTCAGGACGTACTACTGACAAAAGACTAGCCACTTTGGAGATTGCATTTACCAGCTCATATTTTACTGGATCCCCCTCCTAACAAAGTAAGAACAACCATGCAGTTTAACTTTGCAAACTGGTAATACATAGATTTACTGATTGTGTTAAAACTGAAGAATTCTTTCTCAAACTTGTAAATCTCTTCGGGTTCAACAGTGGATGTTCAAGAGAAAAAACCGAAGGTACATGCCCAGCCAGGAAGATTAAAATCGTGCCAGAACGTTCTGAAGCTTATCCTTGACCTCACTTAATTATGATCTTCAGCTTCAGTCTCCAGCAGTCCTCAGTAACATTTCAACTCCTAATCTTCCACAGGTCATAGATTGCTCAATTAAAAGGTGATCTTTGATGCATCGAATCTGCATCGGAAAAAAGTGGGCTGAGAGGGTTTAAAACAGGTGAGAGGGTGCTTCTAAGACCCTAAAAACCAGTGTAAAGATAATTCTAGAAAAGCAGAGTATTTCTTCAGCATTCCAGGTCTGACAAGTGTGGCAAGGTCGAGGTTAGCTCTATAAATCATCTAAACCGTCCTGGTCATAGCTGTACAGTGATATTTCAATATTGGACCCATTTTAAAGTGGAAGTGTATGTCACGTCAACATCTGCGCGTGACCGAAACGTAAAATGATGGATGGAGTAATGAGAAATCTACCTAAATGTGAATTCTCATTCAGGTGAGTCAGCATATTTAAATGTGTACATCCACGTCAAATTACATGGCAGTAATTGAATTAAGTAATTATTGTAGAAAATAGAAGCATGCATTAAAAGAATTTGTGCAACTTTTTGCAGTAGGAATCACTGATTTATAGTCAGCATCCGTTTTATCNTATCAACCCTACGCCACCATTCCCCAGCGGTCTCCCGCTCCCAATTTCGCCCGAAATATTCCCATTTTTTGCCTATTCCATTAGCAACGTTCCCCTCTGGAATTACTTTGCGATTACCGTGGCGGAGTTGAAGTTGAAAAAATTCTTTTAATATCAGAAAGGGATCCTAGAAGGGAAAATTGCTAATGGAAGAGGCAAAAATTGGGAATATTTCGGGCGAAATTGAGAGCGGGAGACCGCTGGGGAATGGTGGCGGTAGGTTTGATATTCAGAACGAATGAGCCTCGATAAAACGGATGCTGACTATAAATCAGTGATCCTTACTGCAAAAAGTTACAGACAGTTTTTGCATCATATCCTCCGGATATGTGTCAGGAGATGCCATCGCGGTGGCGTGTCAAATTCAGGTCACTATTCGAGCGGGGAGGTTACAAAGGGTTTTGACAGGACCACCTTCCAGTAGGCCCGGCACAATTTCATGATTTGACGGTTGTCGGCACTGGTTTTGTGAGAAAACGCTTTCCTCTCTCCTCCTAGTTCTAAAGCGATGATTCACTTAATCGAACAGGGTGAGAAAATCGAAAAGCGACAAATTCTTGGGAACGGGGATTAAGAGGAAACTCGTCCATTATATTTTGTGCAGATAATTCGCAAATTAGCGGAGCTAGCACTACTAGAAAGAAGCTGTATCAAGAGTGCCTAAGCTCGATATGCACCATGACCTAGTTTATCCTCGGCGACCGCGATGGCTCCTCCTGACCCGTACGCGAACATGCCCGACTTACCAGTGTTACACAGAAGTACTGACGAGGTCATGCAGATAAGCAGGACCCTGGCGTTGAAGTGTAACGCTCTGGTTTGATAGACAGCAATAGTGAGTAGGGCGACGCCAAGAACGGCGATAGGTTCAAAAATAAGTCGAAACAGTAAAGAAAGGTGTACGAACGACAATGAAGAATAGATGTTGGCAGCAGCTGCACAGATCTCACATCGGGTGCAATTCATCAACTCCGACATTGTCTGCAATTATGCGTTTTGAGGGTGATTTAGTTTCAAAGTTACGATACTTCAATACGGTGATTCAGAAAGAAACTGGTCCAGAAAAGTTTAAAAAATTCAAGAAGAGCCCTAAATTATAAGAGTAATGACGATCTTATCTTTGAAAGACATAAGAACCAAGTGATGGAGCCCTTTTATAAGGGCTTCTAACGAAAAAGTAAACATCAATTTTCGTACAGTAAATCTATACCGGTTTGCGCAGTAAGTCAAAGATGGTTCAAATTTTGACCAAGCCATGGGTTGCCAGGGTTGAATAAGGGTCTCTACAAGACAGGTCTAAAAATAAAAAACAAAGGCTCTGAAAGTAGGGACAAAAGCCTCCCCAGAGAAGCTCTAGGAATGACACGTAACTAAACACGCTTGCCACTGGTTGTGCTCTTCATTTCGATACTATGTTTGAATAAATAGAATTGTAAAAGGTACCGGGGCAGGCCTGCATTACTGGGGCCAATCTATCAAACCTCGCCCACCAGGAATACTCTTCCCATTCAAAGAGGGGTAAGATGAAACTGTCAGATCTCTTCCTAATAATGTTGTCCCAAAAAATTTCTTAAAGTTTTTTCTCTGTGCCCATATCATCCAAACAATTCAAGCAATCTTTCAGCAATTTCTTCGGCAATTCCATCTAACCTTATGAGCTCAATAGATAAAGTACTCCACGGATAATACAGTAGCTCTCCAATAGCCTCTGAGACTTTCTATTTTATCTTCAACAAAACGGCATGTTTGGATTGCGAGAATTGAAGACGGCAAACCATTCGCTTAAGGAGGGAAAAAATATTATACAGTGTATAATACCACATACTGAAATGCATCAAAATATTGAATTTATCATCAATAACAAACAAAAACACCAAACAATAAAAGATGGCAGTCTTGAAAGTGAGCTTAAAAGACCTGCATGATCAGAACAAGTTGCGAGGTTACTATAATAGCGTGATTCTGCGACGGAGAATAGAATTTTGAAATTATGAAGCTTCACAAAGATGAAAATTGAATAATGAGTGGTAATGAGATGTAATTAGCATTTCTTTCTGACTCAGCAATGTGAAAATCACTCTAGCAGTTGGTGCTTGAGGCTCTTCTGCTATCCAGTGGTAACCGCAAAGAGTAGGGTGCAGTAGGGCTTGGTATTACTTGAATAAAGTAACAGGCGACTCCTTTATTGAACCTAAGTCGATAGAATAGCTGATTGTTGGTCTGAAATGAATCTGGGGCTTCTGAAGTAGCGCCAATAAAAGAGACGTCATTCGCCTTCCTGGCTTTGTAGCCGTTTGTCCATACAAAAACTGGACATTGAACTTGACGAACTCATGGGGTTATAAATGATTCGTGTGAATTGGACACGCATAGCCAGACTAATTTGGTTTCTCAAATTGTAGCGAAGCGATTATCAGGGCATGTGACTTGTCTAGAAGGATTTTTGTAGTATTATCAATGATCCTTCACTGACGGAATGGTTGGTTGACGAGAGGAGATCGGGATATTGAAACTGTGACTACTTTCAGAATCCTCAATAGCCTCTGTGGCCGAATGACAGCTTAACTGTGGGATATACATAGCGTTAGTGAAATGGAGGTTGGAGAGAGATTGCAAAGTAGAAAAAAACAGCTTCTAATTACAGAATAAGAGAAAAGACCTGTTGACTTTCGTAATGGCTGTCAAATATTGACAGAAACCTATGAGAAACTAAGTAAAATGCGACTCCTTTTGTTGATTATCGACCGATACTCGTTTTTATAGGAGTAGAGTTCAGGTAGAATTCTCTCTCTAAGCCAGTCCAAGAATCAGGGAATCGAGCTGTACCGTTGACAGACTTGGTGTGGTGCACCTCAAGATATCTAATCAATAAGACAACGAAATCACGGGAGGCGGGCAGTAGGGTCGGTTTTGTGTAATCGATCCGCCGCACGCGGCCGTCGCGAGACATTTGCCTCGTTAAAACATTTCTAGTGTTCTTCATACAGCTCAATCGCTATGCGATTACTACTTATGGCATGATTCTATTGTTAGCTTTCGATCCTGAATTTCTTGCCTGTCGCTACATTCTGCCACATTCCTTCGCGCGCGACGTCTCTCTCGCCGCGACGCGACATTCATTCGTACTGCACACACCCCGAAATCACGCATGGCGTAGCGAGACAACTAGCAAGGAACGGTTGCGCATTGAGACAACAAGATTCATCTTGAGTGGAACTATAGGTGAACTATGACAAAGATGAAATGTGGAAACAAAAAGAGGCAATAGCCCTGTAAAAAGATGATTTCTTTTCACCTGTCCGATAATGAACACTATAATGTTAAGATGTAACATCCTTTATTCTCGGGTATGGTGCAGTAGAATCGAAATTGTCGCGTCGTGGCGAGAGAGAGACGCTGCGCGCGAAGGAATGTAACAGAATGCAGCAGCAAGTGAGAAATAAAGAATCAAAAGAACCAGCATGTTAAAAGTAATAATCGCATAGTTGTATAAAGAATGCTAGAACTGTTATTACGAGGCAAATGGTCCGCGACAGCCGCGTGCGGCGGATTGATTACACATTACCGTTCCTACTGCTCCGTCTCCCTTGATTCTCCATCATTTCATTTGTTACCGTTCTTTCTGTTCAAACACCCATGTGTGAATCACCACCGTCTACCCGGGTATGGGCACTTACGTGCGTCCGAGGATGCGCGCGGCAAATTGCGCGGCGAAGTGC